GTTAGGGAGTGTATTGAAGGGTCAGTTTTTTTTATTGAGAGGCATCGTGTTGTCTTCATGGTGGGAGAGAGCAAGATAGAAAGGTGAGTGTTATTTGGTGTTGTCGGATGGTTGAAAGCTGAAGTTACTGATTATTTTTCGTGTAAAGCTGCAGTATGAAAATACGAGACGTTGTCGAATCGTGGTAAACTAGCAAGATTGGCCAAATTTTCTACCGAGTCTGGGACACTCTTTATGATGTTGCCTTGTCCAAAGATTTGACCCTTAACTTGCAGCAAACTTTCAAACTCTGGTGCAGGAATCACGAGATATGTTCAACATTAACAGATTGGACTCTTTTCTCATAATAACATGCTTCTCCTTGTGTGGTCTGAACAATGGACTCGGCATGGGGAGATGATGGGTAACAAACGGAAGAACACACCGACGATTTGGTGGCGAGGGCTATGGGAGGAAGTGTTTGTTGTTGTTAGAAACAGGGGGAGGTGAGGTTTATGGCTTCATGGAGGTTCAAGGAGGTGAGTTTGTGGTTTTTCTGTTTGTGAGCTTTCTGCATATTGGAGTGTGGTGAATGTAAGGCAAGGTTGTTATTGTTCTTTCGTGATAGCGAAGGTGAGTATTTCTTGTCCAAAATTTCTTCTGCTCTTTTTTCCTCTCTTAAATCAAGTTTCGAACCTTGCTTTTTCTATTGTGTGATTTCGACTTCATTGCAAGCTGTGTTGTAGCAGGTTTGTCTGTTTAATTTTGGCATGTTATTGTTGGTTAAGTCATTTATAAGTGCAGGATGTCCGGTGTGGTTTCTGCCGCAGGTTATGTTTGAGAGTTGTAGGAGTAAGTAAATAACCAACATTTCACCTCTTAAATTTCATTCTACCCAACATTCCACCATATATACCAATCTGTTTTTTTTTCTAAAATTGCAAGGAGGCGCCATTGGTGTTGGAGCCACCCTTATAAATTATAAGGGGTGTTATCCCTCTAGAGGCACCTTATAATTTATAAGGGGGCGCCATCCCCTTTGGAGCCACCTCTAAACAAATTTTTAAAATAATTTTAAATATATAATAAGTTTAAAAATATTTAGTAAATAATAATTAACCATTAAAAAATATTTAATAAATAATAATTTTATAAATAATAATTTTTAAATAATTTTTATATTTTTAACAATTAATAAATAAATAATAATTAATATTATCATTAATAATTTCTAAATAATAAATAAAAATTAAATTGTATTTAATAAATTTAATATTAAATAATAATTACAATTTTTATTTAATCACAAATGGGTACATATGAGATATATGGTACACTAATTTCTACGACTAGGTAGGCTTAAATGTCCGCCCATACCGCATTCTCGATTACGTACGTTTCAGGGTGATCTTTGTGGTGGAGTCGGGTCCACTGTGTAGTCTTCAAGAAATTGCACCGTAAAGTCATCCAAATTAAAATGGTTGCCCATGCCTTCATAATTATTTTGGGGTGATTGGCTGGATGAGGCAATGTCAGGGTGGGTAAGGGTTGATTTGGTGTTTAAAACTGGGTGTTTATTTGATTTGTAGTATTATGGAGTATGTTTGGTATTGTGGTGGATATTGTTGGTATTCAGACTGTGAATAAGTTTGTGTGAATGAGGTGAATTGGTTAGGGGTATGTTCATATAGGTGTGGTTGTGTGAGTGGGGGTTGGGTTGACGGTTGGAAATGGAAACACACAAAACAAAGTTGTTGCGATGCCTCCATTCACGACACTTATGTTTTGCATATTTGGTCCATGGAGAATATAGAATATTCCCATTAGTCAGAGACTTTACCAGTGTTGGTCCATGGAGAGTCCATGGAGAATATAAAATATTCCCATTTGTCGGAGACTTTTCCAGTGTTGGTCCATGGAGAATATAGAATATTCCCATTGGTCGGAGACTTTACCAGTGTTGGTCCATGGAGAATATAGAATATTCCCATTGGTCGGAGACTTTATCAGGGTTGGTCCATGGAGAATATGGAGAATATAGAATATTCCTATTGGTCGGAGATTTTACCAGTGTTGGTCCATGGAGAATATAGAATATTCCCATTGGTCGGAGATTTTACCAGTGTTGGTCCATGGAGAATATAGAATATTCCCATTGGTTCGGAGACTTTACCAGTGTTGGTCCATGGAGAATATAGAATATTCCCATTGGTTCGGAGACTTTACCGGTATGATATTTTTGGTGGACATGGAATAGTATGTGAGTGTCCTCAAGAGTAACTACACATTCACCTATTGGAAGATTACACATTCACCTATTGGAAGATGAAATGTATGCGTCTCGGGTCGCCGCCTTTCTTGCAGTGCCAAAATGAACTTGATATCAAGGAGATAATTTGTTATTTTGATGACTTCTCCGAATCCTGCTCGCTCCAAAAAAGGTTTAATTATTTGGTCATGAGAAATGTTTATGCCCACGAGTTCGGAAGTCAGGAGTATTCTACAAAACAATAAAACAAATCATTAGATTGTATTTGTAAAAACATTATAATGCTACAAATCAATGCTACAAATAATACAACATTGTGTATTTTGTATTGTGTATTATCGGGTACAAATACTTACATAATACGCGATGTTGCTTGGTGTTCCTCTCTGCATTTCGCCCAATGTTAACAAAGACATTTCTAGTGTGAATATATGAAGAAAATATTGGTAGAATTTGAATTGTTGGATATATTTGATGAGGTTTTGACAATGAGGAAGAGAAGTATTTATAGTAAAAATTTTGAATTTTGAAATTTGAATTTATGGTGGTAGAGGTAAAAATTAAATTTGTGTAGTTGAAATATTAATTGATGTGTAGAGAAGTAAATGAGATGAATGAAGTGTGTAGAAAATCTTCCACACTTGTCATTCTGCATGCATGCAAATATCACTTTTCGTACACATGTCATGGAAGAGCCAAGCCTATGGCGCCTCCCTTTAATATTAAAGATGCATGCAAATATCACTTTTCGTACACATGTCATGGAAGAGCCAACCCTATGGCGCCTCCCTTTAATATTAAAGAAGGGGAGGAAGAGCCAACCCCTATGACGCATCCCTTTAATATTAAAGAAGGGGAGTCAACCCCCACGGCGCCTCCCTTTAATTTTAAAAAAGGGGAGCCAACCCCTATGACGCCTCCCTTTAATTTTAAAGAAGGGGAGTCAACCCCTATGGCGCCTCTCTTTACGATTTATGAATATTTTATTCGTGCACTTTTGTTATTACTATGAGTACATTAAAAAAAAAAATTAAATACATCTCATTTTATGCAATCACATTTCTTACCATTTTATTTAAATAGGTCTAGAACAAGAAATTATATTGTTCATGCCCATTTTAATGGAGACACCTACATCTCTGAAGATTCAGGTTTTGGGTTTCAAAATACAGATGTTACCTGATTAACAATGAGTAGAAAATACAGATTGGACCAGACAATATCTTCGACTCTATTTGCTCAATGCAAAATATTTGATTTTCTACTCATTGTTAATGAGGTAACATCTGTATTTTGAAACCCGAATCTTCAGAGATATAGGTGTCTCTATTAAAATGGGCATGAACAATATAATTTGTTGTTCAGACATATTTGAATAAAACGGTAAGAAATGTGATTGCATAAAATGAGATGTATTTAATTTTTTCTTGAATGTACCCATAATAATAACAAAAGTGCACGAATAAAATATTCATAAATCGTAAAGAGAGGCGCCATAGGGGTTGGCTACCCTTCTTTAAAATTAAAGGGAGACGTCATAGGGGTTGACTCCCCTTCTTTAAAATTAAAGGGAGGCGCCATGGAGTTGACTCCCCTTCTTTAAAATTAAAGGGAGGCGCCATGGGGGTTGGCTCCCTTTCTTTAATATTAAAGGGAGGCGCCATAGGGGTTGGCTCTTCCGTCACATGTGTACGAAAAATGATATTTGCATGCATGCAGAATGACAAATGACAAGTGTGGAAGATTTTTTACACACTTCATCCATCTCATTTACTTCTCTACACATCAATTAATATTTCAACTACACAAATTTAATTTTTACCTCTACCACCATAAATTCAAATTCAAAATTTTTACTATAAATACTTCTTTTTCTCATTGTCAAAAACTCATCAAATATATCCAACAATTCAAATTCTACCAATATTTTCTTCATATATTCCCACTTCTACCCACTATAGAAGAAATTTCTCTGTTAACATTGGACGCATATAGCAACATCGGCTCTTATATAAGTATTTGTACCTGATAATACACAATGTTGTATTGATTTGTAGCATTATAATATTTTTACAAATACAATGTTGTAATGTTTTGTTTTGTAGAATGCTCATGATTTTCGAACTCGTGGGCATAAACATTTTTCACCGATAATTAAACCATTTTTGGAGCGGACAGGATTCGGAGAAGTCATCAAAATAACAAATTATCTCCTTGATACCAAGTTCATTTTGGCACTGCAAGAAAGGTGGCGACCCGAAACGCATACATTTCATCTTCTAATATGTGAATGTGCAGTTACTCTCGAGGACACTCACATGTTATTGGGTTTACCCATTAATGGTAAGACGGTAAACGGTCTCACCAATCTTAGCGGTAGTGTGATAGAAGAACTCTTAGGGTTGAACCAACCCCACGCAATTTGAGGGGCCAAAAAATATTATTATCATGGTTCAAATTTTTTTTTAGAGAAATGAGGTTAACTCGAGATTCTCCAGAAATATTCAAAATTAGAAAAACAAGAATTTATATTAGGCTACTAATATGGTTATTTTTATGTCCGGATACAAGTGGTAACGCTGTTCACTCTATGTATTTAGTTTTATTAGATGATAGAGATAAAATAAGAACATATAGTTGGGGGTCCGCTACACTAGTGCACCTATATCGGTTTTTGTGTAACAACGCAATAGCAAATTCGGGAAATTTTAACAGATGTGATGTTCTTCTTCAAGCTTGAGGTTGGTCAAGAATGACCAATCTAGCACCTATCCAACAAAATAATTTCGAATTCCCATTCGCTAAAAGGTAATTATTTTCCAAATAAAGGTAATTATTTTTACAAATAATGACTTATCTTAACAAATGTTTTCTTTTCGATTTGTAGGTGGTCTTCACTTGGAATGAATTACGACAACTGTCCCCATTTCAGTATCACCCAGTACAAAAATCTTATAGATCATTTGGGTCAAGATGATGTACACTCACTAACCTACCTATTTAGAATATACTCTTCTGGAATATTATTAGAAAATACTAAATATTATCTTTTCTCCTACAGTTCATTTGGCGACCATATCTTGGTCTAGAAAATACTAAAATATTTGTGAGTTATCAAGTAGAAATACTTACATATGACGCGATGTTGTTTGGTGTTCCTCGATGCGTTTCACCCATTGTTAACAGAGACATGACTTCTATAGTGAAATTTGAGGGGAAGTATTGGGAGAATTTGAATTGTTGAATATATTTGATGTGTTTTTTAGAATGAAGAGGAGAAGTATTTATAGATGAAATTTAGAAATTTGAAATTTGAAATTTGAAATTTGAATTTATGGTTGTATAGGTAAAAATTTAATTTGTGTAGCTGTAATATTTATTGATATTAATGAGATAGTTGAATTTGTGTAAGAAGAGATTGATGTGTAGAAATATTGATAGATGAATTCTTACACATGTCCTACTGCATGCATGCATAAAGTAACTTCTTTTACACGTGTCATAGGGGCTCCATCCCCCACGGCGCCCCCCTTGTAATTTAAAGAAGGGGCTCCATCCCCCACGGCGCCCCCCTTATAACTTAAAGAAGGGGCTCCATCCCCCACGGCGCCCCCCTTATAGTTTTAATAATATTTAATTCGTGGGATTTTAATCTATATGTATACATTCAAGCAAAAAATAGTATACATCCCATAAACTATCATTCAACCATGTCTAGAACATCCAATTACATTGTTCATGCCCATTATAATGGAGAGATTTTCATCTCTGAGAATTCCGGTTTCGGATTTCAAAATACAGATCTTACCCGATTAACCATGAGTAGAAAAGCAAATTTTGTGCATTTCAAAGAGCGCATACAGTCGAAGATTTTGTCTGGTCAAATCTCCCAGATCATTTACAGAAGTCCTGTTTTTTTTGATAACAATGAGGTCAAGTATTTTCAAGAGAAAATACTTGACAACAGCGATGTTGATCAAATGTTCGATAGTCACGAACAATCTGGCCTCGACTATATCGAGGTTTATCTGTTACTCTGCCAAACTGAACATGAGGTTGGTGAAACAACGGATATAGATGAAATTGATGTTGTGGACGAGGAGGAAGAAGATCCAGAGACCATGGTTGATCAAATGGTTAATTTGTTCGGGAGCGGGGACTACTCTGCAATGACTCCCCTGCAAGACATAGATGAAGAGGCCCTACCATTAAATCAAGTGTATTGTCCTCCTTAACACATGACGAACTTGCAATGCAGTGGCGACGATACTTCCTCAGATTATTTCTACAATCCTTCTCAACAAATTGAAAGTGTCTTGAAAGTAGGAAACCAGTACCGCACGAAAGAGGAATGCATGAAAGCCATAAGAAAGTTTCATATGGATAACTTTGTTTATTTTTACATCAATCGGAACGACTCAAAACGCTATGTCGTAGTTTGTCGTAACGCAAGTTGCAAGTTTCGGTTAGCAGCGTCCTATCGGAAAAGAATTGATTGTTGGGAGATAGGTTCGATGGATCCACCTCATAGTTGCACAACCAACATCAATCGGCAAGATCATGGAAAACTAAGCTCTCAATTGATATCCCAAGAGATTTTGCATCTTGTGGGCGCGGATCCATCTGTGAAGGTGAGCACAATTATCTCTCATGTTGTTGCACGGTTCAACTATACCCCATCGTATAGGAAAGCTTGGATAGGTAGAATAAAAGCGGTGGAACATGTATATGGGAATTGGGAGCATTCTTACCATCAACTTCCACAGTATCTACTAGCACTTCAGAAATATGTTCCTGGTACGGTTGTAATATTGGAGTCACTACCAGCATACACTCCTGAAGGAACATGTGTTGCTGGAAGTAGGATATTTTCTCGTCTCTTTTGGGCATTTCAACCATGTATCAAAGGTTTTGCGTTCTGCAAACCAGTTATACAAGTCGATGGAACATGGTTGTATGGAAAATACAAAGGAACATTGTTGATGGCGGTAGCACAAGACGAAAATAATAATATATTTTCGATTGCCTTTGCCCTGGTCGAGGGTGAGACAGGCGAAGCTTGGAGTTTCTTCCTCAGAAATCTCAGAACACATGTCGCACCACAACCCAACTTATGTCTGATTTCTGACAGACATGCTTCTATTGTGAGCGCCTACAACAATCCTGCTAATGGTTGGCACAACCCTCCTTCTGTCCATGTCTTCTGCATAAGACACATTGCTCAGAATTTTATGCGGGACATTAAAGACAGAAACCTCCGTAAAAAAGTTGTGAACGCTGCGTATGCCTTAAACCAACCATCGGTCATGTATTACCGAGAAGAAATAAGGTTGTCAAGCGTGGAAGCATTAAGGTGGGTGGATAATATTCCAGTCGAGAAATGGACTAGGTCATTTGATGGAGGGTGTAGATGGGGTCACATGACCACAAATCTTGTAGAATCCCTAAACGGCGTATTTAAGGGAACTAGGAACCTCCCCATCACAGCGTTGGTAAGGGCAACATATTACAGATTGGGATCACTATTTGCAGCAAGAGGCAAAAAATTTAGCGCTGTACTGCAATCAGGGCAAATATTCAGCGAATCAAGCATGAAGTATATGAGGGATGAAACTTCTAAGGCGGCCTCACATCGAGTTAGACCATTTGATCGTCACGATTACAGCTTCATTGTTGATGAGACAATGGATCACAACGAGGGTCGGCCAATGGGACACTACAGGGTGGAACTTCATAAAAATTGGTGCGACTGCGGAAAGTTTCAAACCTTCCGCATGCCTTGTTCACATGTCATTGCCGCATGTTCAACTGCTCGTCAGGATCCATTCTTGCAGCTATCAGAAGTTTACAAGGTCGTCAACTTATTCGGTATCTACAGTAGCAGTTTTCCAGTGGTAGCTAGTGAGGACTACTGGCCAACCTATCATGGAGACACAATCTACCACAATGAAAATATGAGAAGAAACAAAAAGGGCCGCCCCAAAAGCACCCGAATCACAACTGAAATGGATACAGCTGAGAAAATGGAAAGACTGTGCGGAATATGTCGTCTTCCAGGGCATACGAGGAAAAACTGTCCAAATGTTGGAACAAGTTCTAGGTAGATTTAATTTGGTCTTTAAAATTTGTGTAATCGTGCAATTTAATATTTATATCAACTTTTCATTACCACAAAAACGAATTGAATTACTTCTACAGCATAAAACGCAAATCATTAAAATACAATGATTATTACAACATAACCTAAGATATAACAACAATCAAAGTAATATCATCAGTTCCGAACATCATAGACCTAACTTCGCTGTCATCTCTAATTCGCACTCAATCACGCCGTATGTTTCCGTCTTCAACAGAGAAGTACGAGACAAGTCTTTCAATACTCCTAATTCTTTCACCATTTGGAATGTCTCCTTCTAGCCACCGATTCAAATTTCTTCGTAGTTGTTCTAAACTCTGAATGTTCCAAAACAACATCCTTATCGGAGGCTTCGTCGGAGAAAAAATTACATGCCCATATCTTCTAAGGAACATGACTCACTCTTCTAAATTTGGATGAAACAATGTTAGCAGCATGTCTACCTATTTATAAAAAAATTTTTGGAAAACCATAATATAATATTTTAATTATATTAATTATAATACATTTAAAAAATTAATTTCGTATAAAGGAGGCTCCAAGGGGCATGACGCCCCCTTTTAGGGCATTTAAGGGAGGCTCCAATGGGTATGGCGCCCCCTTTATAATTTGTAGGGTGGCTCCAACCCCCATGGCGCCCCCATACAAATTATAAGGGAGGCTCCAACCCCCATGGCGCCCCCTTGTAAAAAAAAATAAAAAAAAAATACCAAACTAGGGTAGATTGGATAATATATTGGAAAGATGGGTAGTTTGGAAATATTAGTGTAGAAACTTGGTTATTTGGGTGAAAAAATCGGATGACGCCCCCCTTATAAATTATAGGGTGCCTCTAAAAGGGATGGCGCCCCCTATAATTTATAAGGGTGGCTCTAACACCAATGGGACCCCTTGCAATTTAAAAAAAAACGTGAAAGATGGGTAGATTGGTATATATGGTGGAATGTTGGGTAGAATGGAATTTAGGGGGTGAAATGTTGGTTATTTGGGTGAAAAATTCAGGATTTGTTTTGTTTGGCGTGTCATTGGTACGGTTTTGAGTAAGCAACATGTTTGGTGTGGCTTTGTAGACGGTACAAGATGGTAGCAGGGAGGTCATGATGCAAGATGTTAGTATTTTTTTTTTGCAAAATCTGTCGCAGGATGACTTGGCATGGTACGATGTGTAGCAGGGCTTGGATGATAGGAAATTTTAAGCTTGTGGTAGGTATTGTTTCATGTGGGCCATGCTTGAGGTTTTGAGGCATAAGTTTTGTGAATTGCTTTTTTCTTTGCAGCTGTTGTTTTTTTGTACAATTGGTAATGGTAGCAGAGGTGGGTTGGGAGTGTGTTGAAGTAGTCGTACGAGTTACCACGGCTACAGGTTGGCTTGATAAAAGTGGTTTGATAATTGTTGTTGTTATGTTACGCATACTCGCAGCTTTTGGAAAAGTGGGGTTGACTGAAAATGTAATAGTGGGGTCAGCTTTGGAAAATTGGTTTTGTTTTAATTGTATGATGGTTTTGGTTTCAAGTAGTAATGACTTTGTTGTTATTATATTTTTATTGTAATGTTTTATGGACTTGATGGACAATGGGCTTTTAAGAATGTGAATTGAATTCTACTTGACAATGTAACTTGAATCAAACTTGAATAAAAAATGGAAACGAAACTTGTATATGACTTGGAATTGAAACTTTGATTAAAATAGAAAATTTGACATTGAAACTTGAATCTTACTTGAATTGAAATGAGGTTAAAACATGAATTGATTTTGAATATGAATTGGAATTGAATGAAATTAGAATTTGAAACTAGATTCAGATTTGAATTGGAATTGACAATGAAATGGATATAAAATAAAAAATGCAATTGTTTGCGAATTTGGATATAGAAATGAAAGGTGGATAAGAAAATAAAAAGATTTAGAAATGGACTTGGAAAAAAGGATATGAGAAAGAAAATCCTGATTTTAATCTGAAACCAATCCTGAACCTTTTCGGTAAGTCTCTACTTAAAATGAATGAAACCACTGAATAACTTGCAATTGATGCCACAACCATTTAAATTCACCAAATCACTTTAGAGTTTGCTTGAATCAATCCTTGGGAAAACATATCCATAGATGAACTCAAATTGGACTGATAGGCACTTGAACGTGAAAACCTGTACCAAAACTCTCATGAACCATTGTTTGATGATCTGCTGATTCTTCACAAAACAACCTGACGCTAGACACACGCTGCTTGAGAAATAATCCACTGACGTAGACGCTTGCAATTGAAGCAATCTCTTAATGGTTTGACCAAGCTTAGGTCAAACTTCCATCTGATCTTGATAAGGACTGAATAACCACACTTGACTTAAAGCTATGCCATCATTCCCAACAACCCTGATCTTCTATCAATGACGAGAAGCAAACCCTAATCTTGAGCCAGTTAAATATAAGCTTGCCAATAAACTTAAACCAAAGAAGTAATGAAACCCTAGGCTCTTGATGCCTCTTGAGAAATTTTGAAGTAGATAAACTTGATATTCGATGAATCTTGGCAGAGGGAAGCCTTGTAGCTGGATAGACTTTGATAGAAATATGCTCATGATGATGAGAAATTAACCCTTGCTTCAAGCTTGTATGAAGGTACCTCAAATTAAATAGGAACCCTGATTCAAAGAACCTTTCAATCTTATGCCTTAGGAGCTCAATGAACCACGTAATTGTTATGACCTAATGGGATGCATAAATGATATGATATGCAAGGTTAGGGCTAAGGTGAAAATGAGAATGTGACATTGATGATTTGGATGATAGTGAAATCAATGAGATAGATGAAGATGACTGGGATTGGAAACACGAAGTACCTAGCCATACATTCATGGAATAAGGTAATGATGCAAACAATATATCTCAAACACAAGAACCAACAAAAGTATCTGAATTTGAGGAAGGCCATGATGTTGACTCTAATGAACTTGAAACTCCACTAGGAAGTGAAGATGAATGTGATGAACATAAGTATCCCAAATTTAAAATTCCTGATTATGGTGATGAGGTGAAGCTTGAGCTTAGAATAACATTTTCTGAAGGTTGAGAAACACAAGAAAAAGGGGTTTGAATT